CTTTGTCCTAAACACCCTTCTCCTTAAAAACCACCTGCAACTGTGGTTTGCAAATTAACTGCCTCTCACACATGAAGGGGATACAAACCCCTGTGAAATTTATAAAAACCTCACCTGCAACCACAGTTAAGAAAAGCAAAGGATCTTTTAAAAATGTATTATTCGTATTATTTTCAGAATTCCTTCCTAGAAGGAGCTATTGTATATTTAGTTAACAATGGCAACAAAGCAGCATTTTTTTTCAGTCCAGTGTCACTTCACTGACTCCTGGCTTCAAAAAGCATTGTATCTGACATCACTTCTCTTTTTTCCCCAAACACCATGGAATTAGCGGCATCTTGCTGGAGATTGTCTTCAATGATCCTGTTTAACTACCGAACTGAAGGCACCTCTTTTAATCACAAAAACTAAAAGAAAAAAGTGAGACCCAAAGGATATGCTGACGTGAGGTGTGTTATTGCTTTTAAATAGGACTCTAGCCATGAAATGTTAGCTATTTCTTAAAAAAAGAAAAATTTCTTTTACTACAAAAATAAAACACGCACTCCATAGACCATTTGGAACACAACGTATAAAGGAAAAACCAAAATCATCTTTGGTTCCACTATCAAGGACAATCGTTTTAACATCCCAGTGCTTCCTTCTAGTTTTATTTTTCTGGGCACAATTTCATGGTATTCTGAACTTTGTGTGTTTGTTCAAAATGGATTCTGCTTCAGTGTCCTGTAGATTGCTAGCTTAAAATAGTATGCAAAGTTCTCCCCTGACCATCTTGCTAGAAACTCTTTTCTAAACACACACTTTATAGTTGGCTTAACAGTTCATTGAAATGGGTGTTCCATAGTTGGCTTACCCTTTCCCCTACTGGTCAACAAATGTTCACCCCGATGAAGGTTGTTCAAACTTTTTACCGTCATAGGTATGCTATGGTGAACATCTTTGTCTATAATTTTTTTCTTTGTTTTAGTTTATTTCTGCAGAATAGATTTATAGAAGAGAATTAGAGGCAAAAAAATAACAAACACTTTCTAGATTCTGACATTTGGCTTGGGTTGTATCCTCTGTCTTGGCTAGATGCAAAGAGTGGGGGTTCTTATGGGTTTTTGTTTTTAATGGAGATTTGAAATGGGGAAGAGGTCATCACCCCACCAGGGGCAGAGCTTCTCAGTACCTTTCAGGTCTTTCATGGTCTTCTAATATTTCTGGGGATAAAGAATATAATGGATTTTAAAGGAAAGCTAGAAAAAAGTAGAACATATGTATATATATTATGCATGGGTTTGGATTTATGATAGGTCTGTTCCTCTGGGCCTTTCATGGTGCCCCCATGACAGAGCAAACTGTGGCCCTGAGCAACTGCCTGGTGTCTATGCCTGCAGGCTGCTGGCACTGGAGTGGGTTGCATAGCAGGAAAAAAAAAGAGAAAAGAATATATAAATGCAGGCTGGGCATGGTGGATCACCCCTGAAATCCCAGCACTTTGGGAGGCTGAGCCAGGAGCACTGACTAAGGTTGGAGTTCAAGAACAGTTTGAGAGGCTCGGCGCCTGTGGCTCAAGCCGCTAAGGCGCCAGCCACATACACCTAAGGTGGCGGGTTCGAATCCCCAGCCCGGGCCCACCAAACAACAATAATGGCTGCAACCAAAAAATGGCCAG